TGTTGTTACTGCTGCCACGTCTTCGTACAACCCCGCGATGAGGGCGACATGACCAGGTCGGGATTCGGTGGGGACGCGGGTGTGGGAGACGCCGAAAGTGCCGTGTTTGAGGACTCGAGAGCGGAGGAAAGGCGCCATGGGGACGACATCCTGCGCTGAAGAATCGTTTGTCGGCCTTGAAGGGTCGGGAAAGAATTGGAACGCTTTGTCGGCTCGGAGTCCATCACCTGCAAAGCTTAGGTCAGTATGCAACAGTCATGTGATGAGGAGAGAGCGATGAACGCACCGATATACAAAACCAATCGCCTGGCGGGAGGTTCAGGGGTATCGACTTTGTATGCGCGCATTCCATGCACAATCGGCGACACAAAGTAGATGTCGAAGATGGAGTAGATATAAATCACGTGGAACACGAACGCAATTCCAAGGAACCCGATGCGCCCAAGTCGTGCCATGGCGAGAGAAGATAGCGCTTTGCCTTGTGCAAGACAGCGAAAGCAGAGGAAGAGAAGGCGTCCAGGTTTGACAGGGATGGATGGCCGGAATTGGATGGACCGAATGCCCTTATACGGCTAGTACTGATTGGAGAGGAAGCTCGGTCGGAGCAAACTGAGTCCGCTATCCGAAGTCGGCGCTTACTATAGTATAGAGATAGTCAGGAAAATGTACATGCTGTGGAATCCCCAATTATTAGGCAGAAGCTGTTCCAAGTAAGCTGCTAAGCCTACCCTCTTTAATTAGTCTGATCGGGGTAAGCCCTGACGTAAGCAGTAAGCAAGTCGGCCACCTCTGTATCTCATACTAACCCAGCATTTTTCGAACTCCTATATCTCAGCCACCGTTAGCTCTATTGTAATAGGTCTTTACTTAAAGCTATATGTATACTTTTAGAGTATATATTTCGAAAATAATGATATAGAGGGAAACATATAATCTATAATACTAGTTTGAAATAAATTACCTAGCAATACAATGTAATATATCTTACCTGAAGATATATTAGCATATATTCTATAAGATTTGCATATTAAGATTAAATCTACTTTAATATGCCAATTTAACAATATAAAGCTGATTATATAAAGTTTGGCTATGGTATTAGATCTCAAAGATTGCTGGATCTGTGTGGGATACAGAGGTGGCCAACTTGCTTACATGGCCGACTCGCTTACCGCCTACGTAATGTTCCAATAGCTTAATAAGGCATTAACCTTAAACGTAATCCACAAGCGAGCGAGACACCCCTCAACCCCTGAAACTTGTCAACACACTAAATCATCATCATATTCAGCTTTTCATCTAATATGGCCTCAAATCATGCGGAATCAGCAGTTAAATTAGAAGATCGCATATCCCTTGCAGTTAAATCATTCAAAACTAGTCAGTTTAAGAGCATACGAGCAGCAGCAGCAGCATATGATGTTCCACGTTCCACTCTAGCCCATCGAATCAAGGGTCGAAAAGGGCGGAGTACTATACCCGCGAATTGCCAGAAGCTTAGCAATCTTGAGTAAGCTTCATTGAAGAAATGGATTTTGGATATGGATGAGCGCGGCCTACCACCTACCCATACTATTGTACGCAAGATGGCAGACCTATTACTTTCTCATCAGAAATTTGGCCTGACTACTGGAAAGAACTGGGTTAGCAACTTTGTCAAACGACATGATGATCTTATATCAGAATATACTCGCAAATATGACTACCAGCGTGCCAAATGCGAGGATCCAGAGATTATCAGTCAGTGGTTCAGTCTGGTTCAGAATACTATAGTGGAATATGGTGTAACTGAACAGGATATCTACAACTTTGACGAAACTGGCTTCCAGATGGGTGTGGCATCTACCGCACAGGTTATTACTGCATCCCGTCATCGAGCAAGCCGTATGAAAGCTATACAGCCAGGGAATCGCAAATGGGTGACTGCTATTGAATGTATTAATGCTTCTGGAGGGCCTCCTCTCCCCCAAATGATCATCTTCTCTGGTAAGGTCCATCAATCCCAATGGTATCAAGATATCAACACAGATTGGCTGATTGGTGTAAGCGACAATGGATGGACTAATAATGAGCTTGGATTACTATGGTTAGAAAATGTCTTTGAGAAGCATACTGCAATGCGTCCAATTGGGCGATATCGACTTCTGATCCTTGACGGCCACGCCAGCCATGAATCTGCAGAGTTTGATCTTTTCTGCAAGAATTATCAAATTATCCCTCTCTATAAGCCTTCTCATTCATCTCATAAACTGCAACCTCTTGATGTTAGCTGCTTTGCACCCCTAAAGAAGGCATATGGTATAGAGGTGACCACAAGCATTCAAAATGGCATTTGTCATATTGATAAGGAGAACTTTCTTGATCTTTATAAAGTATCAAGAAAGGCCTTATCGTAAGAGAATATCCGCAGTGGATTTAATGCGTCTGGTTTAGTTTTAAATCTTCAAAGGATGCTGGATAAACTCACTATCAAGCGTATCCCCCCCAATCTACTTCCCATGGGCCTTCAGATCAGGGATGGACTGCAAAGACCCCTTATACTACTGCTGAGATGCAAAAGCAGATGCAACATATAAAGCAGCTTATCCATCGCAACTCAGAGAGCCCGCCAAACGGAACATTCCGCCAGCTAGCTAAAGCAGCTGAATCTACCATGCATAAAGTCATTCTACTAGAGCATCAGATGACTGAGCTTCGCGCAGCAAATAATAAGCAGAAGCGAAAGCGCACAGCCCCTAGATCTTTTACTGCTATTGGAGGGGTTCTGACAGGGGCTGAAGGCCAGCAACTTGCTCAAGAAGCTATACAGATGATGGAGCTTGTCTTTAAGAGAAAGCGTGCACTCCCATAATGCAGTAATTGCCATCAAATTGGGCATATTAGAACTAGCTGCCGTAGTAAATAATACACTTTTAAGTGTAAAAATGGCTTCATTTTGATTGCATAGCAGTAAGATATCTGCTGGTTCGACCAGGCGATTTTAGGGTGCTGAGGGGGTGTCTCGCTCGCTTGTGGATTACGTTAGTTATCGCTTGCTTACTGTTAATCGACCAATTATTCTTTATTTCTATTATTGGTTGTGCCTTATTATTCACTCGAGGACGAGCCCTTGTCTCTGATCGACATCACGAAACCAGCAACGCTTCGCAGCTTCTCACACGTTTCTGTGAGCTCCCGATCCGGGTTCGACAAGGCTATGATTCCCGCTCCTGCTTGTAGCCAGCTACGTTCAGAATCTTGAAAGACCGAGCGAAGGACCAAGGATGCCTCGACTGATTTGGATCCCTCAAAAAACACAATAGCCCCTGAGTAGAGTTCGCGGGGACGAGTCTCTAGGCGAGAGATGGCCTCAATGGCCTTCATTTTAGGGATCCCGGTAGCCGTGATTGCTGGAAATAACACGTTCAAAGCGTCCCATACGTCATTGGACGGGCAGAGAGTTCCAGTGACTGTGGAAGCAAGATGCTGCACCTTTCCACGTTGCTTCACAGACATGAGATCGGCCACGACCACAGTGCCATCCGCGCAAAACCGATTCATTTCCCGCATTGCTTCCTGGACTGAGATGATGTGCTCCATGACTTCCTTGGGGTCATTAAGGAGATCATTCCGTAGCCGCGACCGCTCCTTTTCCGTGCCTACATTAGCCCTAGTTCCGGCAAGCGGCTCGGTGGTGACTTTCCCATCCTGAAAAGACATGACAAGCTCAGGACTAAATCCGGTAGCGCTGAAACCATTGTGGTCAACCAAAAATGCGCGCCTAGGCGTGTTGCCGCGTCGTCCGCATACTAGAGTTCCGACCATATCGACCTTGTATGACAGATCTATAGCCCGAGAGGCAATGACTTTTCGATATAAGCCTCTGCTGATCTCGCCCAGTGCTTGCTGCACGACATCCCGATACTGGTCTCCATTTGTTGACTCATCAGGCCGGCCGTGCGTATAAAAGCTCGGAAAAGGATGGGAGAGTGCTGTTTGGATGACTCGCAAATCATTTTCTGTCCAATTACGGAGCGAGACCGCGCCCTTCTGGACACGGACTTGCAACCGCGGGACTAAAAGACTGACCAATGGCCACGAGCCCGGCTCAAACTCAACACCATTGATGTAAGCAGAGTAGTTGAAGCCGATCTGGCCGGATATCATCCCTCCATCCTGGGCATAGCGAGAAGTAAAGGCCGCAGTGACCTTCTTAATAGTATCTCCAGTTATTTCAGTAGACGAGCTAGTGGTGTCCGTCTCAATTGTCGCTGTTTCGCCAGGCGGATCGATGGTGAAAGACGCTTGGCTGTCCACGCCGACATGCCATGTCGATTCGCGTTCGTAAGCGTACACAGAATGTCCCGCATATGCGATCAGGATCTTCGCCACTGCCTCGACACGTGCATCTGCTGATGTGCCTAAAGGGATGGTGAAGGTATCATCTGGAAACACTGCCATGGTGCAATCGATGTTTGTTATAAAGGAAAGAGTGCCATCTTGCTGTGGATCGATCGATCTATCGATGTATATATGGATATATAAATGGAGTAAGGATAGTAAGCATTACTCGTAATACTCTTATCTTCGTCGTAAGTGGTACGATCACGTGGATAGGACCGCAAGGCAAAAAGCCCGTGCATGCTGAGACTATGCTGACGAGTTCACATGAGGCGAATAGCAGAGCTAACAACTTGAAGCTGTATAGTGATTTGAATCCCAGTCAAGCTTATCTTGCTTTCCTTCCATCGTCAGCTTACTGTTGTGAATCAAGTCTCAATCGAGAAGACACTAGAGCTTCGCATACGGAATTTATTCCGTATTGAGTCAGATTGATTGGAAATCAATCTGATATTCAACTTGTAAAATTAAACTTCCTCTGAATCACAACACTTACAACAACCATTCAATGTACTAATCATCATGTGCCAATAGTATTGTCATAAGGAACAAAGACTTTGCTCCAATCAGACCAACCCGGGTAAAGGAAGATGGAGTCGGTGGAGGGTTCTTTAGCTGAAGGAAATCAGTAGTGACAAGTTTGCGTTGGAGCGTGTGGCCTTTATGCCTTACTGATGCCTTACTACCTTAATTCATATCACGTGATATCAAACGCCCTTTGAATCTGTATGAATGACGGTGCTATGAGAAACGAGAAACCTCCTTGGAAAGAGATGTGAATTGGTGATGAATAAGGAGTACAAAGCCTTCCATATCTGACTGGCTCACAAATCTGTCAGTGTACCTTGCTCCTTAAAAGATCCCTGCACTTCACCACACTCGCCGTTGTTCGTTTCTGCTCTTGTCTAGGTTCGGCGTTGCTGTACTTATACTTTCTAAAACGCGTCTCGTCACTATCTGTGCCCCCAATCCCTTCTGCAAAGTTCAACCGGCCAGTACCATTCGTTACTATCAGACTTCTTCCCCCGGCTCACTCAGGATAGCGTCGTCCCACCTCATGACGCAGCGAGCTTGCGCAACTCATTCTTTAGAATCTTCCCGGTCACGCTCTTCGGAATAGCATCAATAAACCGAATATCGCAGTAATTGACTTTATAGCGGGTAAGGCGGTGACACAGTTGCTGCTTCAGCTCCTCGGCGGTAACATTCGGATGAGCACGTACAATAAACGCTATAGGATGCTCTCCAGACTCCAGATTGGAACCGGAACCGATAACTCCAGCATCCCTCACGTCAGGCAATGCCATAAATGCATCCTCGAGCTCAGGAGGAGCTACCTACAAGTATAAGGCCGAGATGTTAGCGATCTTCGGACACATAGTATATATGCATATGGCTCTTGGCTGGCGGTCTCATACCTGGAAGCCATTGACTTTGAATATGTCTTTCTCGCGGTCCACCACGTACACTTTCCTATTTTCAACATAACCAATGTCTCCCGTTTTCAGCCAGTAGTGCTCTTTATCTTCAAACGCTCGTTCGGTCGCTTCCTCGTTACCCCAGTAGCACGACATGCCATAGGGGCTGTGGGCATATATTTCGCCGACCTCCTTGCCGCTTGGCAATGTCTCACGAGTTGTGCTCAACTTGATCTCACAACCAGGCAATAAGCGACCAATAGAGGATGTGTCATCGCTCTCTGGATACTTGAAAGTTGTCATCCAGCCGCACTCCATCATACCCCAGACTTGAGTGATTCGCGGAGGGTTGGTCTGATCAAAAAGCTTAAGAAATTTGGCTCTCAACTCTGGTACCAGCGCCGCGCCACCGCTATAAATCGTGCGAAGTGACTGGAGCTGCTTCCGCGCTTCAGATGTGTTGTTTATAAGCCTGACCATCATTGGTGGCGGAGCAAAAGTCTCTGTGATATTGAACTCCTGGATCTTTTGAGGATATAGGACATCATCATAGCGTTTCATGAAATACGATGGAATGCCGAGTCGAAGAGCATTGATGATCTAGAGGGTTAGTAAGAAGCCAAGTCGACGAAAGAAAGCGACCTACCATCTCTGGAGCTGAAAGGCCGTGGAAGATGGGAGTGCAGTAAAGCCGCCGCACTTGGTAGGGTTTAGGATTTTCCTCTATCGCGGCACTCTCGAGCACCATAGACCGTTGTGTACGTGCGGCCATCTTCGGTCGACCAGTAGTACCTGACGTCGATGCGAGAGTAGAGACAGATTGAAGATCAATAGCACGGATTGTAGCATACAGGCTCTCTACACTTGACTTTCTTTGGAGGCCATGAAGAGTTCGAAATTCCTGAGGTGAGGTGCTACTTCCATAACTCGGTTCGAACAAGATATCGGTGAAGATAATAATTTCTGCCGAGCCAGCAGCGGCGCGCACAGTTTCCAGATGCTCCTCTCTAGTAATCACATACTTGGTGTCGGAAACTCGAATGTGATGCTCCAGTTCAGGAACTGTATATGCAGTGTTTGTGCCTGTCCAGCGGCATGACGAGCCGTAGATGGCCAGCACCAAGATCGGGTAAAGGATGTCGTTTGCAAGATGGAGACACACGGTTGTGTTCTTCTCGAATACACCGACGAGAGAAGCAATAAGCCCAACAGCCTTGTTCTTGGATATAGACCGTGGTGGGTCAGACTCGGAGGCGTCTATCAGTACTGGCTTCGTCGGGTCGTACTGACCAGACAGCGCCCACTCAACGATACTACAGCAGTCCGGCTGGAGTTCCTTTGTGATCTGTATGGCCATTGCGTGTACAAGTGGGTTGGGTGTAGGCGTGACGGGATATAAATGTACGTATAGGATTTATTAGAGGTCTGTCGAATATGACCTGGTTAGCAGGGATATTAAGAGATAACGACATCACGTCGCGTAGATAATGTCGAAGGAGTATAGTAGTTACTGGTACTCACGTATTTGAAATGAGGTTTAAGAAATCTAGGAGGGAACTAAGCGCAGCAACAAGTGCAAGGAAGAAAATAGTGCAAATGAGCTGCTTGATAGTCGACCTTGCGCATCTAACACTATATATCTGTTACTACTGGCATCGGCATGACACGCTCTAACTTAGCCGAAAATAATAAAGCTACAGAACTTTACGCTAATATTAGCTTGTATTGTAAACTCTTAGTACCTCTAAAAGAACAGTACCAGGATTATTGTAAGCGCTTATGATTACGGCTAAGCATGTATATGCGTTTGGACCCCAGCAACGCTTACGTGCTTAACAGGCAATTGTATGCGCTGCTTAACTTTACGAGATTATCTTCATGTCCTCCTTGAGCCGGGCCGCCTTCGTTGACCTCAAAGTATTAGGAGCTAAAACAAAAGCGATCGTCATCAAGATTCCAAAAGGGCAAAATCTTTAAAAACACACCACATCCTTGTACTGTGGAGCATTCTGGACGGTCTTGTTTCAACGATTCGGTTCAAAATGGCATATGTGGCATTTCGACAAATCGGTTTATTTATAACGGCATGCATAAACGGTCTCAAGCCGCTACTATCACCATTGATTGGAACGCAGCAGCAATCCAGCTGTTCAGACAATACTATTATATACCAAATCTCTAGAAATGACGAAGCTTTTAGGGACCACGTCAAATACTTTGCATTCGAATTCGATAATGTGTTGGACCCAGATCTGATACAGAGCTCTCTGAAGAGGCTTCTTGAAATCGATCATTGGCGCAAGATCGGTGGCCGGATAAAGTTGAATGTAAGGAATTTAATTCGATCTCTAATTGAAATAATGTGTCTTGACCGTTGCTTAGGGAAATGGTCGAATCACGCTACATGTGCCGAAGCATTTCGACTCGCAGAACCCAGCATTTACCTTCCATCATGAAAAGTTCGACATGGCGGTTTCTGAGCACATTATTGCTGCGAAGTTTCCCCCAATCAAGCAAACCCAACAATCAATAGTTTATCCAAACGACGATTTTCTAGCGACTTTCGCGCGGACAAAGCAGGCACCTAAGAGTATTCATGAGTTCGTCAAATCTGGGAGTCCGGTACTAAGTGTACTGGTTTCATCCTTTACGGACGCCACAATTGTTGGGCTTTGCTGGCCACATATCCTCATGGACGGTCTCGGATATAGCGAGTTCTTACACAACTGGTCGCTCGTTTTAGCTGGTGAAGAGGACAAAGTCACTAAGCCGATCGATATCAACTGTGACCCAATGTGGGAGATGGCTGATCCAGCACGTTTCGATATCGAGGAGGACTGGGCTTTTGGTCGGCATCAGCTCCAAGGAGTCGATCTTCTCTGGTTCCAACTACGGTATTTATGGAACGCCATCTTTAGTTCACCGCCTGAAAGGCGCCTAATTATGATCTCAAATGATGCTTTTCATCGACTTGTGGACAATACAAGGCTAGAGCTGAAGAAATGGGCCGAAGAGCAAGGCGAATCAAAACCACCTTTTATTAGCGACGGTGATATCTTGACTGGCTGGATAATGAAAGCTGCGAACAAGCATAAGACATCGCGCTCATCACGACCTACAATCCTCGGTCAAGCGTTCAATCTCCGACCATACTTACGAGAGGATGTCATTAATCCCCCCGAAGCCGTACAAGAAGACGTTAATCGCAAAGGAGTCTACATCTCAAACATGGTCTCCGCAGTCTATACACTCCTACCGCGAGGATTTTTACAAGATGAACCGGTCTTTCGAATTGCCCTTGAACAGCGAAAGGCAGTACAGCAACAAACAACGGAGAATCAAGTGTTGGGCTTATTACGACACCACCGAGAGACCTTTCAACGGACTGGCAAATACCAACCAATTTTCGGCACGCACGACAGCGACCTGTATTTTGTGACAAATGCGATCAAGCTTCAGCTTCAGCATGTGATTGATCTCTCGCCAGCAATAGTCAAGGATTCGGCAGAAGGAGATAATAAGGGTATAACTCGCAGCAACCTTACTTCTTATGTGTCTGGGTTTCAAAAGCCCAATGCTGTGTTTCCTGGTATTATTATACTGAAAGGAAAAGACCAATTCGGGAACATTTGGCTGAACCCTACGTTACGTCGAGATTGCTGGAGGGGTGTAGAAGAAGAGGTCCAGAGACTGTGAATATTAATAGAATGTATGGTTTAGGTACGTGCATCTTGTTACCATCAACCTAGCATAAAAAATTAGGTGCTCAAGAAATTATACCCTAAACCTCTAGCTATCTATTATATCCCTATTTCTTTCTTGCGCCGTTTAACGCTTATTTTCACGGAGAAGTCAAAGTTGCAGGTAAAACCATGATCGAATGCCCTTGGCGTCTGGCCTTCCTCTAACTTCAACTCGTATTTCAACAAGATGGCAGCCAATGCAATTTTGATTTCGTTCCCTGCGAAAAAACGGCCAGGGCAGGCGTGAACACCGTAACCAAATGCGATCTGTTCAGGCGACGTCGTTATAAGTTGAGCTATATCCCGCTTCTTAGGATCTTCGCGCATTCGAAGGAAACGATATCCGTCCCATTTTCCTGGGGATGTAGGATGGACTTTGGAGTCCCACATCTTGCTCGAATCAACGATTATGCTTTGGCCTTTGGGAATCACGGTGCCATCGGATAGAACTACTTGCTCAGTGGCTATCCGGCCCATTGATGCTAAGGAAACCCTTGTTAGTGGAGTCCGACATAGTAGCATAGATGCTTGGTCTTCTTACCCATGGACAATGGTTTCAAGCGCTGACTCTCTTTGATACAACTGTCGAGAAGTTTCATTTTACCAAATGAAGTCGTTTTTAACCCGTTATCCTCGCTGAGAATCGAAATTATTTCTTCTCGTAGTGGCTCGATGATCTGAGGGTGCATCGCAATATCCGCAAGCGTTTGGCACAGCAGATCTGTTGTTGTATGGATGGCCACCGTTGAAAGCGATAATTGGACAATTTGGGGATCGAATGATTCGGCATTTGCTGCATCTTCGAACCAAGAAATTGCGTCGTTGAATTCTGATGCCTGACCTTCTGTGGATTTGGCCTTGAGTCTCGTACGTTCTTGGATAACGGGTTGAATCAGTTCTCGGGCTTTTTGTATTAAAGCACGACTCATTCGACATTTACTAAGGAATAAGTTCGCAATTGGCCGTATCCAAGGAGACCATAATCGAAGGTCTTGTGCAGCTAGGAATGCTATTACTGCATACTCTCTTGTAACCTGTAGCCATTCTTCGTTGCGGCAGAGCTTAGTTCCGAGGAAAACCCGTGAGGAAAGGCGAGAGATTAACTTGAGAATAGTGCCTTGGAGAGGCAATTCGTGCCATTCTATATATGTCAGTTAGGTTAAGGAGTCGAGTCAACATCGTGTGTATGTATACCTGTATCTTCACCAAGCAAATCAGCTAGGGCTAACGAAGTCTCCTCAGCTAGGGGTGCAGTGACCTTCGCTGAACATTATATTAGCGATATTGTTGGTATGGGTTTTTATAGAAAGCACTCACCCAACTGTTTGGTCAGATCCTTATTAATTACGGTCGTGACGAGCTGGTTGTTATTATCATCACGGAACACCTCAAAGCCCGGTAGGCGACCATGCATCATCTTTAATCATGTTAGAAACAGTGATTGCGCTGGGATAATAGATTTACAAACCCTTTCAACCCGCTGACGCAAGTGGAATCTCTTATCGTTTCGGATTTCGTTTGCCATACTTCCTGGCAGTACTATAACCGTTCCAGTATCGGTATAAACCGAAACAGGTTTGTCTGGATTTTCTTCAAACCAATTATGTAGCATCTGCCTGGCATTGCCTAGGAATACCTTCTTCACGCGTTCATCAGAGAACTCGAAGAAACCTTTCGCATTCAATACCGGCACGTTTGACGGAACGTGCCAGTAGAATATAGCCAGAACCACCACTAAAAAGGCCGCCACATAAGGAAGAGGCCTGGACTGCAGTATTGGGACAGCATTCCACTGCTCTTCAAGTTTTGAAGTCATGTGGTCCATGATCAACCCGTAACCCGTAGCAATGCGTGATGATCAATAGCCGTCGGCATGGAATTTATACTCTCTTAGTTTAGAGGCGTAGCCGGCGCGATATAGCGTTGTGCAATCTCGATAATTCTAGCTAATATAAGGGTATGTATTCGGAGTTATTGCGACGTCCACAGAGATGTGCATAATAACATGCGCTTAGTTTAAAGAAGCGTATTATTTATCTCAGCCCCCACGACAGTTAGACAGCGACAGTTAATTAGGGGTTAATGATGACGGCGCTTAATCTTACATCTACTTTTTAGCTTAGCGATAATGACTTTGTAATTAGTTACGCTCTTTTAGATTATTACCTTAATAGGTAATTGCTGACATATAAAGCTGTAAGCACTAAGACTCGCTGACGTGCCTTAGCCTGCGCCTCATACTTGCATACTATTGGCAGCGCACAGCTAGAGCCAAGTAATTATTACATGCATGGATTAATGGCCATTTCATTAGCCTTTGAGCCTGCATTATTATTCACGTTATGAGTCTATTACACCGCGTGATCTTCATCACTTTGCTCATTTAGGTATTGTTTATCTATAATATCGAAAGCCACTTTTCAGGCAACAATTTAAGAAAACTTGCTAAGGATTAAAGAGTTATGCTTTCCTTTTTTAGCCCTTGATCTCTTTCCACGGGGGCATCATACAGTAAGATGACACTTTACCAAGAAATCGCCTCCTGGGTAGCACCTAGGAAGCGAGAAATATCCCCGGTGCCAAAACTTGGATACCCTCCACCAAGTCATCGCTTACTACAATTTCCGCAACTCAGCCCTAAACCATGTATCCTTGTTTTCCTTCGGCACTGTGGATGCCCATGTACGTCGTCCTAACAAGCGCACTTAAAGCATACTAACCCGGCAATGTTAGTTGCCGAAAAAGCGTGTATCGATGTTTGCAACTTAGATGCTGTGCGTAAGGGTAGAATCAAGGTCATATTGGTATCTCATTCATCTGAGGAGGCCACAAATCGCTGGTGGAAAGAAGTTCAGCAAAGTGGTCGGTTACCTGCCGATTTTGGAAATCAAAAACTGGCGGTGTCTGTCATTATCGATGATGAACTGGAACTATACGCTGCCTGGGGCCTTGGGGTGGCTAAAACAGAACATGTCTTGAATTTAGCCACGGTGTCTGCGGCAATATCACTAGGATGGAGGGAGGGACTTTGGGATCGCGCGACGGAAAGCGGATCTCGGTGGCAGACCTCTGGCGCATACGGTATCGATAGATTTGGAATTGTTAAATGGGTGCATGTCCCAAGACTGGCGAGTGATCTGGCGGGCTTTGAGGATGCTCAAGCAGTATTACTGGAAAGCTGAACAAAGTGCTATTATCGATCTTCTACAGTGCTAGTCCTGGTTTGTAGTAGGAAGTGAACAGCTCCTAGAAATGGATAACTCGTTACACCCACAATCTCCTTAGAACTAATTCGAGGATGGGATTCTCAGACCCGAATTCAGCTTCAAGCAATTTCAGCTCTTTGAGTATGTCCTCTTGCATGTCCTGGAGCAGCAAGAAAGTGGAGTCGAGGGCTCCTCCTTTTCTCATTTTTCCCAATATCAGTCTTTTCAATCCCATCGGCATCTCTCCAACCCCTTTGTGCTGTAGTATACCCTTTATCATAATCTGTTCGGGATCAGAGCCGGTGAGACAGTGGATGAGCGGCAAGGAAATCTTGCCCTCATCCAGGTCCTCGCAAAAGCCTTTTTGACTAGTGTACTGTTGCACGTTAGCTCTGTTTCGCAACACAGTTGAGTATTCAGTCTTACTTCGTCTGACATGAGGTTCTGGTAATCGTCGCGGATTTGGAAATAGCGCCCAAGTAATGTGACGAATCGGCGCGCATCAATGTGCTCGGCCTTCCTGCTAGATTCGCCTTGCATCAGCCGAACACACAATCGAAAGAGACCGCCCGTCTTATGGTCAATCATCGTCATGTACTCGTCAATGGTGGGCACGTGAGTGTGATATTTCCAATACAGGTCCAGAGCTTGTCCACAGTGTAGGTTCTTCAACTCCTCTATAAAGACCCCTATAGTGTGTGGGCTCTGAAGCTTCTGGAGTTCCTCGAAAGCACACACAAAAATGTAGTTGGCTGAGTTTATCGTTTGTCCTACTCCAAACAAAGTATGAGCAGTAGGGTTTCCCCTACGCAGCATTGAGTTGTCCTCAATGTCGTCAAGCATGAGAGATGAATGGTGGAGCATGCCAATAATAGATTTGATAGATGATGAAGCTGCCGCTGGGACTTCTAGCCAAGAGTCCAGGGCGTCGATGAAGGTCTCCCTAATCTTTTTCGAGGGAAGGGTGTTGATGTAGTTGTAGGGAGCTTTGACAGCCTATCTACAGAGTTAGACCTCATTCATTGGAGGGAAATGAGCTGATGCTTACATCGTCGGAAGGTTTTTGCAGCAGATGTTGAGTACCGCTGCTAATGCAGCCATTTTCATGTTTTGAGCCATTGACTCCATTCACCTTGTAATCGGTTACCTTGGGTGATGGTGTTCCTGGGGCTACAGCTCCATTGACTTGAGACGACTTGACGCCATTTGTTGCAACAGCCCCGTTGACAGGTACCGCAGAATTGTCTTCTTGATGACCATTGGCCAACGCATGTTTCCATTGGAAGACGCCGTCGACCAGCACATATTCCGGTTGTTTCAAGTCTTCTTTGGTTGGGTAGCGTGGAGCGAAGATACTCCAGAATTCGGAACCCGAGGCCGCATACTGGGCTGCCATGATGTATTTGCGATGAGCGTCGGAGATGGCTCCCTCCCTCTGTTCCAGCTTCCTAACCAAGAATAAGTGTCGCTCCTGAAGTTCCACGTATTTTTCTCGAAGTCTCTCTATAGCTTCGATGTCTGAGCATTTATACTGCCGCATCAGGATGCAGACTGCATTAAATGGGATCTCTGAGCCTTGTGTCTCAAGGTGGTATTTCAGCTCTTTCGGCCAGCTATGGCAGTCATTGATAAGAGCAGCGGTATATAGAGCTGTATTGGCAATTTCGGACAGCTTTTCTTTTTCTGCCTGTGTGAGACGAATCCCTATGCCAAAACACGACATATCTTGAAATACACTGTTTCAAATTAGCCACATGTGTAACAGCGGATGTCTGTTATCTTCTTACTCGAGACCGCAGTTCACCAGTCGAATGGGGAGATACTCTTCTATAGAAGAGATGCCGGAAGGCGGAGATGTTGCTATCTGCAGGCCATTACTGTAAGTGGTCATGACGTCCATAGCCAGATCGCGGTCCATCGTCATCATCTCGACTAAAATGCTGGCTTGAAACTGCTTTGTTTTGATTGCTACATTTGTTCCGTCGCTTGTCGAATCACCGGGGCCTTGTAGCGAACGCTGGAGACCGGCGTTGAACGCGGTCACTGTCTTAATGTCGACAACGTCATAGTAGTCTAGCGGTTGTCAACTCTATGTCTTTGAAATCATGTTTGCGGGCCTACCGTCATTCATTATAGTAAAGTCGGTGAACCTCGTCATGATCTGCAGCCTTTCAGGCAAGCACTCTGGTATGGTAAAGGCAACAACATGAACTGGGCCCAGAACAGGATAGTCCCCTATCGTCTTAGCGTTCAATTCCACATCAACCTTGGATACAAAGTCATGTCGAATCTTGTGTGCTGCTTCCAGGCATAGAGCATGATCACGATGGACTGCCGTGGGAAATCTGGTTAATGTACCCGACTGTTTGACAACATCTTGGGGCATGTGTGTCGCGTATGTTGTCATGACTGCTCTAAAGATAAACTGGCAAGCAATAGCAAGGATTCAAAAATGGTCGAAACTAAGCGTATTGGCATGCGGGTATCACAGTTGGTCTTCGAGCTAGGTAGGAGAGAGCAGCATAGAATAGTACTGGGTAGACAATAAGTTTGCATCACAGACGAGAGTTGCTGGTCTCGGTGCGTCTTTTTGTTCTATAATACCTAATTAAGTGCAATCGGCGGCTCGTAGGTGGTGATTATCGACGTTGTCATCTTTCATGTTTTGGTGCCGTCGGCCTGCAGGCGCTATTATGCGGTAAGCATAAGCCTTATAAGATGTAAGCATTGAACCGATGCTGACAAGTGCCAAAGTTTAAGCTAGTAATCCAAGTCTTCGCTATATTGTGCAAGACAGACCAGATACATGGAAAGAACTCATACCTTGATGAATACAGAGTCTGAAGTCTGTCTTCGCCTACTCTCTTGCACCATTCTTTCCCTTTGACTTATAGCAACAACTCCATGTCATATTAAACGCTCTAAAGGCAAAGTCGGACCAAGCTCTAGTATCATGGCCATTACAACTTCATTTACTGGCAGTCTACTAAGTTCGTTGGAGACTCGGGACCTGATACGATATACCTTATTCGGCCTGGCATATCTCGTCATAGTGGACATTATTTGGCGGATCATCTACTATCGTTACTTTCATCCTTTAGGACGCTATCCAGGGCCATGGCTCGCCAGCATCACCCGGCTTTGGCTGGCGTGGCACCATTTTTGGGGCACCGAGCTGCACACGCAATGGATGCTTATCAAGAAACATGGTATGTCAACGCCAAGCACGTTTTCCTTTTCTAAGAACGAAATCCATGCCAACTTTTAACCCAAGGCCCAGTAATCCGCGTCACACCTACCATGTTACTCATCGCGGATAGCAAGGCCATGCCCGCCGTCTTCCACCGTCGGGACACCAAATCCCGGTTTTACTTGCAGGGCTACGTTGGCAAAAGTAACAGTATTCTGCTTCGAGAGCCAGGTGCGCACGCTGCACATAGGCGCCTGATCGGGGCTCCATATGCGCTCGCGAATATTCAAAGAATGGAGCCCCTTCTCGACAAGCACATCTTACACTGGATTAGTAGCATAGATGAAAGATTTGTGGAGCAGAAAAAGCCGGTGGATTTTTCGCAGTGGTCTCATTATCTGGCATATGACACCATCACAGACTTGGGGTTCAGGAATCCTCTTGGCTTCATCAAGTCTGGCTCCGACGTTGGCGGTCTCATCGAGGGGTTCCGTGTAGGCATGCTCATCTTTGGTGTAGCAGGTCGCATATATCCCTTTACCGAAATGCTGCTCAACTCTTGGCTGAAGAAGTGGCTGGTCGTCCGCACGGAACAGAAACTAGGCTTCGCTGTTGTCATGGAGAAGGCTGGAGCTATTCTCGCTGAGCGTAGCAGGCGCATCAAGGAGCACGGCCAAAGGGCTCGGAAAGGAGAGAAGGCCTATGATCTTTTACAATCGTGAGTAAATAACCCCTTTTTCTTTACTGGCTGCTCCATACGGCCGGGCTACTGCTGACAAACGCTTACCTGGCACGTCTGTAGCTTTATGGACGCTCGTACACCCGATGGCGACCATCTCTCCGAGGACACAATCATCTCGGAGATCTTTGTGATTCTCGGGGCCGGCTCGGATGGTTTTGGCAGCGCGTCAACAGCCTTCATGGTCTCGGTACTTTCGCGACCAGCTATTTTCAAGCGCCTCATGAACGAAATCGAGGATGCCATTGCTGCCGGCAAGCTGAGCTATCCAGTCCCGACGTATACCGAGGTATCGCAGCACCTTCCGTTCTATGCCGCTTGCATAAAGGAAGCACTTCGACTGAACCCGAGCGGCGCCACTCTTCTCCCTCGCGTGGTTTGCCCAGGTGACCCGGATCTAATCGTCAATGGTCGCCAAGTCCCAATTGGCACCGAAGTGGCCATGAATCCATGGATTGCTCATCGGGACAAGAATCTGTACGGAGACGACGCTGAGGAATTTTACCCAGACCGATGGCTCGGTGACCCAGTGGCTGCCAAGGTATATGAGAAATACAATCTCGCTTGGGGATATGGCACGCGTGTCTGCCTGGGTAAGCCTTTTGCCATGATGGAGCTCTACAAGGGACCGCTTTCGGTGAGTACATAGTCGTTGTTTGCCCCTTGAGCTATTCCCCAACAGCATAAAGGCAAAGATGCTGACAGTAGCGGGAAAATAGTTGCTACTTAACTTTGATGTTACTCTCGCCGAAGTAGGGCCAGACACGCCACCGCCGCATTCAGAAATGTATGCGACGGTGAAGGTTTGGGGAGATGTATGGCTGCAACTGCAGCGAAGTAACCGCTGGTCAGACATGGGCAACAAGATGGCACAGAACAAGCTTGCGGATAGGAACAGAAACGAGGACGTTGCTGGTGGTATTCCTCTTCCCGAGGATTTGCAGTGATTTGGAGTCAACAATGTCAACATTTGGAGGTCCCTTAGTCAGCATACCGTACTTGATCACCTGACGCACGTCCCCACCTGCCGCACGAATTTCTGTATGGCAACCAACATTAAAAATGAAGCTTTAAAGCAACATACTAAATAAATTATACTTAGATTTTTTGATGAAGCAGAGATATGATGCTACTAAAGCTATATACAGCTTTTTTTCAATCCCGGAATCGTTGTGGGAGGTGTATTTGTCTTCCACGACGATTTATAGATATACAGCCCTCCCCATCAATCTTAGGCTCTGGAATAGTAATATCTTGCTTCTTTTGAGATATAGCTGGCTTAGGACACTTCTTCTTGCCTTTTTGGACCACTTTGAAGTCATTTTGAAGCTGGTTATCAGTCTTCTTAGCCAGGCGCTCTTCCTTCTTTTGGCGCTTCTTTTACTCTGCTTCAAGGAGGCGTAATTCTTTATTAGCTACTCTGATTTGCTTTCTTTCCTCAACTAAGCGTTGCTTCTCTTGCTTCTCTTGCTGCCGGTGAAGCTTTTCTTGCTCTTTAGATACCTTAGCAAGCTCTATAGCAGCTTCCTTTTCATTCTGAAGCTGCCGCGCTTGTTGTATCTTGCCTGGCAAATAAAATACAGCATAGCCATCCTCTGGAGCTCTCAATTTAAATAAAAGAGATTTCCCACGCTGCCGCTTCTTCTTCTCATTTAGAAGAGTATTCTCGAGATCCTCGCAGCGTAGCTTTAGCAAGATATTCTCTGTTAAGAGATGGTGCATTGTAGAACTAAGTTTTTTTGATCTCTCATCATAAATATCAGAAACAACCTGTCGAAGAAGCTTTTCAATTCTTCTCCAGTCATCTGCATGTAATATAGACTGGGATGACTCACTGCTAGATGGCCGTTGATCGTCTTCTTTACTAAACCGCTTTAGAACAATCTCGGGGTCCCAGGGCGATATACCAACAGATTTCCATGCAGAATTGATATTTTTAGATGATAAAGCTCTTTCCCAGCTCGGCTAAAACAGACAGAAGAAGTCATGCTTTGTAATATGACTTAGATCCTGGAACACATGTAAAAAGTTCTCCAATTCGTTGCTATAGGCTGTAGAAAGCGGCCCGAAGATACCAATATCAAGAGGCTGTAGGGAGTGTGTTGAATGCGGTGGATAAGTCATTAAATAAATTCGATTCTCTGTACAGAAGTTTATAAACTTCATTGTAATATGGGATCCATGGCCATCAAGAATTAGAAGCCTCCATTGTCTCTGTGCCTTGCTCTTTGTCTCCGGATTGAATAGATCTCGAATCCATACAAATCTAACATTATCATTTGTCCAGTCACTTACTAAAGAGGTAAAGAAGCAGCGGTGCTTTGTAGTATCAAAATCCTGGAACCAGGAATCTTGTAGATTGCTTGAAGCTGCCTGGTAAATAAGCCCCGGTGGTAGAGCTGTTCCATCCGCGCAAATACAAGCAATAGTAGTAATCCATTCTCGATTACCATCTTGTAGGCGCTGCTTTATTCCATCCTGCTCATAGCGGCGCCTGGAAAAGATTCTTTTACCCTTAGATAGCACTCCAATAAGAAATTCTTTTTCATCCATATTATACATATTTTCAGGCTGTATTTCATATTCCTTGATCTTTCTGGCGAGTAACTCAAAGTATAGAGTATACTTAAATGCAGAATCAGCCCTCTTGCGTGTAGAATTAATCCCAGTAGTATAGCGAGAGATCAGCTTATTTTAATACTTCTTTAGAAAACGGCTTGGCCAGTGCTTTCCAGGCTTTATTCCTGAGATCTCTTTCGCAAAATTCCGAAGCATCTCAGAGATAGGATACAGGCCTCTCTCAGAGAGTTTATTAATGTAACTTATAAGAGTTTTGGCTTGCTGGCTGTTGAGTAATCGCTGGTTTTCATATTGGTTCTCTTTTGAATGCATAACACCCCGGTGACGCCTTGAGAGAGTTGTACGATCAACACCGAACCTTTTCGCCACTTCCGCATATTTAAATGATTCTCCTGGATTTAGGGATTCTAAAAAAGCAAGCGCCTCATCAATTGAACCCATATTGACAGAGTTGTGATGGTTTGAAGTTGAAGTCAAAAAGTCGGTGTATATAGAAATCCGTGCGGCAGGTGGGGACGTGCGTCAGGTGATCAAGTACGGTACTAGACCACGTGTTCGAGTAGCTTCATCTTCAACATCAGTTAGCTTGACCACCAATTCATCTTCTTCCTTCAAGGCTTTCTCTTTATCCGGTCCTCTGAGACATCACTATGATAGTGGCGGTTTCACTTGAACCGAACGGGCTGAGAGTTGCCGTAGATAGCACCAGAAGCTTTGCGGGCACAATATAAACTTTGTAAGGAGCATCAACCAGAGAGCGTTCTTCACACCTAAGTATCGCTAATAAACCAATCTAGTCTACCTGTACCCCTGATACGTGCAACCCTTCTAGCTCGCCATCCCGGCTCCTCCATTCCTCCAAGACATCCATGAAATTATTCAGCCCTGCCGGCCAGGGCCCTGCCGGCGCCGCAAGCATCTGTTCTTCTCTTGACATGTTATCCAAAGATCCTTCGGCGTTGTAGTACGAAGGCGTGCATCCGGCCATGGGTGCTAGGGTCGGTGCCCCAACCATGACGCGCCTGGACCAGTCTTGCTCTGCCTCTTGCGTCGCCTCAATGACCACCTTGGCAGTCGGCTGGGCCCTGCCAATCCGCCGAGTACTTTCAGAGATGATCTTAGCAATGTGCCGGGCAAAGGTTTCCAGAGTAGGTGTATAGTTAGGCGATGCACCCGCTTGGTTAGCGCCCGCGAAGAACATGTTAGGGAAGCCCTTTGTGCAGATGGCATGTACTGTAGCTACTCCCTTGGACCATTTGTCCTCCATGTCCAAGCCGGCTCGCCCGATGACTTTGACGCCGCACCGAGCTCCTGGGCTGCCGAGCACACCCTGCTCGAAACCCGTTGACCAGATAAGCACATCCACGTCATACGTTCTGCCATTTGCCATGACGCCAGTCTCAGTCAATCTCTCAACGCCCTTCCCATTCGTATCCACGAGTTTGACGTTGGGCAGATTGAAAACTTGGAGGTACTCGTCGTGGAACGCCGGCCGCTTACACCACCCTGGGTACCACGCCTTGAGCTTCTCGGCGACCTCTTGGTCGTGGACAAGCTCGTCAACCCTTGCTCGGATCCTCTCCGCGCGCGGCATGTCCAACCGATGCAAGTTGGCGACGTGATCAGGAATCTCATCTATGCCTATTGTTTTGGCTCCACCCGTCAGAACGCTGAAAGAGGGAAAGCTTGTCCAGCTATCCGATACTAGGTCCACAGGCTCCGGTGGCTGCGTGTTGGCTAGGAAGGATGCAAAGTTCCGACTTCGAGCCATCTGCCAACCGGGTCCCGTAGAGATCTTCTGCTTCCACTCCTTCTCATCAGTTGCCTTCTGGGCTCGAACGTCAACCGATGCCGGCGTTCTTTGAAATACTAGCAGTTCTTTGCTCCACCTGGCTAGGTGTGGCACCGCTTGGACAGCAGAGGCCCCGGTGCCTATGATGCCAACCCTCTTATCCTGCAGTTTGCTCATCTCTGGCGCTTCTTGGCTCCCGCCCGTGACATTGTAGTCCCAGCGTGAAGTCATGAAGCTCGGACCCTGGAAGTTTCCCCAGCCGGGGAGTTTTGGCAGCTTCGGACGGTTGAGCAGTCCTGGCACCAGCATGACAAAGTCGGCACGCACACTCGCCGTTGTTGTCTCTCCTGAGAAGGCTTTCTGGGTCATTTTGACAGTCCACCCGGCGGTGTTGTCATCCCAGGTGCATTGACTGATGACGGTGCGGAACATGGCTCGGCCGTCCAAAGACCATTGCCGCGCAACACGGTTCGCCTGCTCCCGAAGCTCCTCGCCATAGGCGTATTTATGCTTGGGCATGTATCCTGTTTCTTCCAACAGTGGCATGTATATGTAACTCTCGACATCGCACATGATACCAGGGTACCGATTCCAGTACCACGCCCCACCGAATCCTGCCGCAGCGTCGACTATCACAATATGTTCTGGTTGAAATCCGGCATCAATCAACCGCACCGCGAAGAACAGGCCGCCTATGCCAGCGCCCAGGATCACAAACTTGAAGTGGTCATTTTCCTTCAGCGTCAGAGATGCAGTTGATCCATCATCCCAAGGATCCTTTAGGAAGCGTGTATAACTTGGCTCTTCGGTATCTCCCAGATTGATGTATTGGGTAAGGCCGTCGGGCCTGAGCCGCTTTTTCCTCTCTTCTTGATATTTCTCCTGAGTCTTTAAGGCCGTCGCAGGATCGATAGCTTCATATCCGTTGGAGATATGCGATTTTGCTTGCTCACCGTTTACACCATTAGTGGCTGGCGTAGCAGTGCCATTCGAAATTGTAGTTGTCATGATTCGAGCAATGTTGGAGTTGTTAGAAACGATGAAATTGTCAAAGAGGCATGTATTCACGCTAAAGGACGACGAAAAGCGCTGTGGTGGCGAATATTATCCTATTCTCTATGTATTACTACTGGCCTCAGCGTAATATACCCTAACTTCAGTTCAAAGGAATAGAACTCCAGTAGTTTACGCTAGTGCTTACCATGCGTAAGCTTGGAAATCTAATAATGCATTTAGCTCGATATTGGACTATGGATTACTGTGCAGTATACGTAAGCTCTTACATCTATGGTTACCGATAAGCATTACGCCGACCCCGACTTCCCAGTGTCCGTGCCCTATAATAAACGATGTTATTTGAACTGGCCCATGTGGGTCAATCAGGTAAGACTCTTACCTAAGTTGAGGAGGAGAATCATAACGTAATTCCCAACCGAGTCGGACACCCGAGCGAGCCGGACACCTCTGTATTCCATATAAAACGGCACGCATCAAGGCTATGATATCTCAACAACCAAGCATCTACAGGGTCTAAGTTCAGGTAGGAGGTATTAGTATAGTCATACAGAGTTATCCTTATAAGCTACAGTCTCCTAGTATATGTAAGTGCTCTGGTAACATAAATTACATCTGTGTTTTTGGTGATATTGTTGTGATTCAGAGGAAATTAATTATATTTATTATTCTCTTGTGAAAACATGAGGGTTTATATACAAGTTGAATATCAGATTGATTGGAAATCAATCTGATCCAATACGGAATAAATTCCGTATGCGAAGCTCTATTGTCTTCTCGATTGAGCCTTGATTCACAACATTCCCCCTCAGGATCGCCTTGCTTGCATGGAGATAATGCACTGGCGAGAATCGACTAGGCCTCGGTAAAACCACTGAAAAATCCCTCTGGGAGAAAAAGTGGAAAGAGCGCCCCTGTACGATTACAGGTCCTGCTTTGGACCTTTTGCAACACTGGCAGACCAATTAACTGACAGAAGCTTGCAAATTCCTTTAGCCCCAAAGGTTTGGTAAGTCCATCTGCAGATTGCTGCTTGGTCGGAATATATTGAATGTTGATCTCTCCAGCGTCCAGTACGGATCGCTGATAATGAAACTTAACGTTGAAATGTTTGGTTCGTTTATGGAACTCTGGGTTCCGAGACAAGGCAATAGCAGGTTGATTGTCCGCCATAACGTGTGTCACCGGTGACCGGTAGAGATTGGTTTCGTCCAGAAAAGTGCGCAGCCATTGGAGGTGTAGAATGGCGTTATATTGGCCAATATACTCGGCATGAGTAGTGGACGTGGCGATTTCCCTCTGTTTCTTGGATGACCAGGAGACTGGTCCTCCCGCAAGCTTGAAGACATATCCCGATGTAGAGTATGCCCCATTGGTTACGACTGATCCACCGAAATCGGCATCCGTGTAGCCGATCAGATCTCCTTTTCGATATGTGATTTTCACACTTTGGGAAGCTTTCAAATACCGGAGAAGACGCTGCAGTGCGGCTTGGTGATGCGATTGGGGTCGAGACACGAAGCGACTCAGAGTTGCGACCGCAAACGCAATATCTGGTCGGGTTCCGATCATCAGATACATCAGTGCACCAATGGCCGAACTGTAGCGGGCTTTGGCCGGATCATCAAGGTCCCGCTCGTCTGGTTTTGTGTCCAGGGAGCTTTTCGGAGTCATGGAGTGTTCTTGGGCTGGCAGGCCTCCATGCAGAAATCAGATAATATCTTTTGGATATACTGTTGCTGATGAAGTAAGACAGACCAATCGTTGTGAAATTCGAATTGGATACCAAGGAAAGTACGCGGGGTTCCCATATCATTCAGTTTGAATTCTGATTCGAGAGCGTCCTTGACGAGATGAATCTCTTGATTACTGGCTCCGGTCACCAGGAAGTCATCGACATAGACACAAACCACACAGTTCTCCTCGTAGAAGATGCAGTTGTCTGACTGTGCCATGGCGAAACCGTGCGCCTTCAGGACTCGATGCGCATACTGGTACCAAATCCGAGGAGCCATGGAAGAGTATTGTATTAAAAATGGAATGTTGGCTAGTCAGACCTCAAGGTGACACCAATGACAACGAGGTGAAGACTGGCTTCTCAAGCCCGCCGAGATTCCTCCCCCGGGCGCTCCTTCTGCCTAGAGATTAGGAGACGGGAAGTGCTGAACTTCCGCGGCCCGGTCCGAGATATACACAGACGCAAGCCCCAATAAGGGAATCAAGACACCAGAGCCGGTACACACCATATTAGGGCTTGGAGGGGATGGTTTCAATAAATTGTTTGATAGGAATTGTTGTTGATCGTTCTTGCCTTTGGCGCAGGGCAATGCGTACGTCATCAGCTGGTTTTGTGATCTCCACTGCTAGTGAGTATTCTGCAAAAGTTTTCTGGGAGGTTGAGGGACTTGACGTTATATATCGTCTATTTCCTTCCACTCCCTGAGAGCCGAGGTGAGGATTTGGTATCTGGGTAATCAGGGCCTAAGGCTATGTCGCGGAGCTCAACACATTTTTCCATTAAAGCCAGGGCATCATAAATCTTGCCTTGGGATTTCCAGGTAAAAGCGATATAGTGCATGCTGACCAGAGTATCAGGATGATCTGGTCACATAATCTTAGAGCAAAGATTGAGTTCCTCAGCCTCCAACTTTTCTGTTTTCTATCGTCCCTGCTTCCAGTATGTCGACGCCAGGCTGCCTATACTGATTAGAGTATCGATGTGCTCTGACCCCAGTTTCTGAGAACACAGCTTTAGTTCTTGTGCCTGTAGCTTTTCTGCCTCCTTCTATCGTCCTTGATTCCGGTATGTTAATGCCAGGTTGCCCAAGCTGGATAGAGTATCGGAATACTCTAGCCCCAGTATTTGTTTCCGAGTCTCTACTATCTGTCTATATAGCAGCTCTGCTTTATTATATCTTTATCTTGATAGAGGCAACCTCCAACCTTCGGTAGAGAAACCATTTTCGGGTGACAGATAGTTGAAGCATTAGAATAAACCGATATTTAAGGTAAAAACGAAATATTCAAAGCAATGTGGGAGTATGACTGTAGATATATATATAATTGACAAGTAGTAAGGGCCGCGCCTTGCGCGGCCTGCACACAGTCAAATACAGATAACTAAATTCCTGGCATGCTGATTGAAAAATCTGCTCGCCAGTTGTCATTATAACTTCAAAAAAAAATGGAATACAGGACCTTCTTCTCTATCTGTGTAACATATCAAGCAGTCTTCTAGGCGTCACCTAGACTTATTAAGCCCGGCCCAAGAAACCCAGCCCAACCCGGCCCAACCCGCCAAGAAATGGGCTGGGTTGGCCAATGCAATAACCCGCCATGGGCCCCCGCGGGTGATTCACATATATATATATTGACCTGTGGGTGGTTTGTATATCATCCTAACCCGGCCCAAACGCAACGGGCTGGGTTGAAGAACCTCAAAAACCCGGCCCAACCCGCGGGCCTAACAAGTCTAGCGTCACTATAGAACATAAAATAGACAATATACTATACAGTACCTTAAACGATCTTCTCTTGCCCGTAGACCATAGGGCCTGAAGCCCTTGAACGACGTGCTGGTCGCGCTGCAGTTGGGTATCAGAGGTCATTGTTGTCTTGTAGTTGGGAAGACCAGTCAGGCAAGGATAGACAGTTATTATTCAGGGTAAAGATAGCGGAGGACCTCTTTTTCTTCTTCTTATGCTTACTATCAGACAGGGGGTTCTTAGCAGGTTATTTATCTATAGTAATAGAGAACAGCTCTGTAGAGAATGTGGCATGAGATATAGAAGCAGTAAAAGCTGAAGATAAAGATAAAGTATCTAAGTCAATATTAGTATAGTATTATAGTATAGTATTAAGTATTGTACTGATAATGGGAATATCTACTGAGTCACTTGCTTGGGAAGAAATCGGGATAGAAGAATTAAGCTAAATCTGGCAGAATAATAAGTTCTGTAATCATTCACTTAATCCTTTACTTCATCATTTACTCTACTATTCACTGTATCATTCACTCTATCATTCACTTGATTATTCACTTGATTAACCATGACTGACCTGACCGACCTGACCATGACCGGACCGACCTGACCATAACTGACCTGACCAGCGCAACCATGACCGAGCTGACCATGACCAGCGCAAACGTGACCAACCTGACCTGACTGACCAGACTAACCTGACCATGACTGATCTGACCATAACTGACCAGACTAACCTCACCATGACCGATCGGACCATAACTGACCTGATCAACATGATCATGACTGACCTGGCTGTGACCGACCTGACCGACATGGCCAACATGACCATGATCGGACTGGACGGACCGGACCAAACTGGCCAACTGGTTCAGGACTGACTGGACCATACCCGAGCGGACGGATTGAACCATGGCTATGGAAACCGGGTACAGGCCTCCAGAGGTTATATGATCAATCTGGCGGCTCGCAGGTGATCTGGTAGGCTGCCTGAGGCATGCTATTATTAGGGTAACCGGACCGGGTTCTAACTGGATCCGGTATAGACTACCCGTTCAGCGGTGCTTGGCAGACCCCAACAAAACAAGACCCTAATGAAATCAGACCCAGACCGGTCCAACCACAGATTATACTACAGGGTGAATCAGACTGGATAGGAAATTAGAGTAAAAAATAAGAAAAATTCACATCCAAAAATCATCCTGATTGACCCGGAATTGAGTGACTTTGGGGGAGGGTATATAAAAACCCTGTACCCTCCCCCCCCCGGTGGGGGCCCGCCGTGGGTAATCCACCACTCAGCGGCCGCCCTGGGGCCGGACCCACCCGTACCCTCCCCCAGGGTACGGTCCGGACTAGAAGTAGTAATTATTATTTATTATCTATTAATCTGATTATTTTCGACTGATCAAAATTTCGCATCTATCAATATAAATCTTACTGATCCATTAGCAGTCCCTGACTTACCTTATTACTACAAATTATACCCTGATTCATTATTATACTCCTGACTAACCGAACCAACCTGATCATCACCAATAACATGATTAATATCCCTGATCTAACCTGACCAATCTGACTATGATTACTATAACCTGACCAATCATTACCTGTTCTGACTGATCTGACTTATATACTGACTTGACCTGATAAACCTAATTACCCATTACAGAAATACTGAATTACTTATATTTTAGTAAATATATATATTCTCTACTTAACTGCCTGATTAAATATCATTGTACTACATTACTTTCTAACTTATATAAAACTGATCTGACTGACCTGACCAACATTACTATAACCAATACCACCATGACCTGAATCACCGCACCACCACCACCACCACCACCATAACTCACCATAACTAACCTGACTAACCTGACCTGACCATAATCAGCATGACCATGACCTAATTTATCATTACTGATTATCACTGACATAACCATCACCGACCTGACCATGATTGATCTGACTGAACCAACATAATATGAAACCTGACCATGACCACTACCACCATTACCTGAATGACCGCATAACCATGACTGACTGACCACTATTATCTAAATAACTGCACTACCACTACTATGATCTGAATGACATGACCAATATAACATAAAACTGACTGAACCTGACCTGTATGACCTTATTGACCTGACCAATATCACCATGACCTGAATTACCATGACTGACCTGACCAGCGCAACCATGACTGATCTGACCGTGACTGACCTGACCAGCGCAACTGTGACCGATCTGACCATGACCGATCTGACCATGACCGATCTGACCATGACTGATCTGACCGTGACCGACCTGACCTGACTGATCTGACCTGACTGACCTGACTGACCTGACTGACCTGACTGACCTGACTGACCTGACTGACCTGACTGATCTGACCTGACTGATCTGACTGTGACCGACCTGATCATGACTAACCTAACTAGACTAGATAAACTAATAACTAAGCTAGTTCCTGAGCTGATTGCTGAGCTGATTACATGGAGACATACGCAGTAAGTGGCCGCAGAATCACTCCCACTACCTAAACACTTTTTACTTTTGTTTGAATGGATATTCAATTGCGCTAGGATAAACAAAGTCTAGATTGTTAGCCTCCTCCATTCAACTAGTTCGGTGGTAATCTACATTTTTAATAGCCGGTTAGTGGTTAAATCTCGCCTAAGGTAGATATAAGCCAGAGAATCTTGTCTTAAAACAAAACATATCTCAGTAGCCATGAATGATTTTCTTGCCACGATCATAATTCTTGTACTATTCTTGGGAGCAGGTCACCCTGTTACCTCTGCTTCCCTGACCCTTCTGGCCAATATTGTTGGACCTTTCGCTCCTGAGTAATTTCGCCAGTCGTGTTTAGGCCTCGAAATGGTCCGACTCAGGTTCCAAAGGTCGGAACCTCGAACCTGAACCTGAGGTTCTCAGGTTCCAACTTTTCGAACCTGAATCGGATCGCGGTTCTATCAGGTTCGACTCAGGTTCGAACCTGAAGGAACCTGATTTGCATAATTTTGCCAAGAGTTGCCTTTTTCGGATGGATAAAATGATGATTCATCATGATTTTTGACTGTAATTTACCGCTGTTCTGGTCAGTATATCATACATATAACGATGTAGCCATATATGTTGTGAAATTATATGAAATCCTTTTGTATATACAATATTTAGCATAGAAAATATCATATCTAGTCAGATTAAGTGTGCCCGAGGCTCTTAATGGGTAAGTCTAAGAGAAGTTGTTATTGGTGCTGTGTATGGAGTGAGATATATATCTTCCACCAGGTACCAAACGCTGTATCAACGTTCCCTTTTATATATTTGACAGCCACCATTGGAATCAAATTAGCTTCTTGGAAGTTTATAGAAGAATACTAATGTCTAAGTGCAATTTTTTATTCATTTTAATATATATTTACTCTGTATATTCTGTATATCTTCAAAGCGGCAAGACGATTTACTCATGGTCAAGGACTTAGGCAAAAATTAGATTGAAATATCAGATCCAGAGTGATTCTATCAGGTTCCAAGTCAGGTTCTTCAGGTTCTAATGCAGGTTCCTCAGGTTCGACTCAGGTTCAAACCTGACAGAACCTGAGTGAGTGGGTCTCACTGACCAATTATGACACATAGAGATAGATAGTCTATATATCAAAATAGATGTATCCATGCCTTCATTCACTCGCGTTAGTAACCAATTTTCTAAATTTTTACTGTTTCTCTCAGCTCTGGCTTTATCTCTCTCTAGTAAGTCTCTCACGGTCCTCCTCTATTATCCTGACTCTATTATTTACGATGTCTCAGAGTCAAATCTCTCAGTTCTCTGATAATTATCCCTCATCTATCTATAAGGACACTCCTCTAGATAATTATCCCTTGTTTCTATCTGATGATCCACAGCCATTCATCCCTGATGCTTCATACAGCCAGCAGACGCCTGCTTCTACACCTGATACTGAATTTACCCGGCCTCCAGTACCGCCCTCCATCCCTAGTACCCTCGAACGCGTTGGCCCCGAGAAACAGAAGACTTATCTCCTCTGGACAGAGATGGTAAATGATGAATTTGTCGCATGGTGGTTAAAGACCGAGTTTGGAAGTCGAATGAAGCGGAATATTTATGAGAATAAGCACCAGGCAGAGTGTTAGAAGCATTTTCACCAGGTCGCCTCTATTCAAGATGGGTATCCAAAGGTTATATGTAAAATGTGCGGCAAAATCCTTAACCATCCAGCAAATGGCCATCGTGGAACATCTTCTATGAATAAACATTTCTCGCAAGGGGTTAACTGCCGGAGGACAGCGCCTCATTCACAAGATATTAGAAGGCTCATGCAAGAAGGGGTATTAATATATTTATCTCTATTAATTTATTTTATCTTTACTAATTTCTATTTGTCTTAGGCATATCTAGCCTCTCAAAAACCTATCTTCACTCCACAAGCTTGGATGGAGAGGATAATCACATTTGTTACCAACTTACGACTGCCATTTCAACTTGTTGAGCATCCTCAGTTTCGTGCCCTTATTAAGATGGCCCGGCTTGCGCCATCTATACCTGAAATCCCTTCCGCATATACAGTTCGATGTCATCTTCGGGAGATGGTTAAAGAACGACAACAGAATCTTCTTTGCAAGCTTCCTACAGGCGCTAAGCTCTCTATTGCATTAGATTGCTGGACCTCACCTTTTCGCCAGGCCTTTATGGCTGTCACAGGCTACTTTATTGATGAGGATTGGAACTATCGCGAGATCTTGCTTGGCTTTGAACCACTTTCTGGAACACATACTGGAGCTAATCTAAGCATAGTTCTCTACAACCTACTTCAAAAGCATGCAATTGAGGACCGGATCTTGACTGTTACCACTGACAACGCGTCTAATAACTCAATATTGATAGAGAATATCCAGGACTCTCTTCTGTTACTTGAGCTACCAAATCAGACCCCAATCATTCGTATACCATGTATGGCACATGTTATTCAATTAAGTCTGAAAGAGCTTCTTGGTAAGATGGAAGCAAATCCAAGAAATGAAAGAGAAGAGATGGAATGGACTAAAGAACAGAGAGAGGATCTACAAGAGCATCAAGAAATTGTACATACTCTTAACAAAGTAAGTTACTCTCCCTAGTATTATCTCAGGCTATACTTACAATATACTAGGTACGGCAGCTCGCAGTCTATATTAATAAAAGTCCCCAACGCTGAGAGGCCTTCCAGAATCTTCAGGTAACTAGCCCAAAGCTTATACCAATGCAAGATGTCAGAACTCGCTGGAATTCAACATATCTGATGCTTCGACGCGCTAAATGGCTACAATCTGTTTTTGACGAGTTCTGCGCGCAGTACAGTTGTCATGACCTACAGCTAAGCCCGGAGGAATGGCGGCAGATTGATTATCTTCTTATAATCACCCAGCCTTTCTTTACCTTTACAACCACTCTCTCAAAGAGCAAGGATATCACTGTTTACACTATCTTTGGTATCTACAACAAATTATTCAGTCATCTAGAGAGATCTATAGCGCAGCTTGCACGAAAAAAGGTTAACTGGAAGACAGTAATGCTATCTGCCCTGAAGCAGGCCAAGTTGAAGCTATCTGAGTATTATACCATAACTGATGATATTCCTGGTGATCTCTATGCAATTGGTACAATCCTGGCACCGCAGAACAAGCTTCATTTCTTTTCTACTAAGGAGTGGGAGCCGTGCTGGCGTGTACGATACCGCAAGAGCCTTGAGGACTACCTTGTGCCTTATCAACAGCGATATTCTGATACACAGCCTGTATCTAATGGCCATTCTTCAGCAGATCAGATCTCTGATATTGATATGCTTATCACACCAACTGCATCATTCCAGCCACAGACAAACGCCCACAGTGAACTTGCGTGATATCTTGGAAGCAGTATGCTACTCTCTCTAATATCTTATGTTTAACTTTCTCATCTTATTTCTAGGCACTCGTCTGATCAATCCGCGGCTTTTCTGGAAGGATCAACAGCATGAATTTCCTATCCTTGCAAGCCTGGCATGAGATGTTCTTACAACTCCTGCTACTGGTTCTGGTGTTGAGCGGCTATTCAACTCAGCTTGTGATATATGTCACTACCGTCGAGGCTCTCTGAAACCAAAAACAATTGCAGATCTTATGATGTTTATGTGCACATCAAAATTTGATATTGAATCAGAGCAGCTAACCTTTGTTGATGAATATCTTACTACCCAGGAGATTCAGGTAATGAATGAAGAAAAAGATGCCGGTAAGCCTGGGGATAAGTTTGATCCAATCAGTGACAATGAAGAAGATGCACCAGAAGCTATATCTCCACAGATACAGCCACCCAGTAAGCGTGCGCTTGGTAAAAGACCAAGGACTGAAGCCACAGAGGAACAGGGGCTATTGATTGAACTGGATAATGAGGATGATGAGGATGAAATTCCTCTACCTGACATCAACAACCAGCATGGTGAAAGTAATACGCAGAGGCGAACATCAGGGAGGATTCCAAAGCGTTTAAAGCGAGATGAAGATTAATTTGTGTATCATAAGCCTTAAAAATATTACAATTTAAAACTGAAAGCTCCTGTCTGATCTTTTCGTGGCTTCACCTAAACGGTAATCTAAATACCCAAAAATACAGAGGAAAACTGCATAATATATGCATAGCCGTCTCTTAGGTCAGCAGCCCCACACGCCCTTCGGCGTGTTGGTCTGCCTCACCTCAACGCAAATTCCCATCTCAACGCAAAAAACGAAGCTATTCAGAGCTCCTATATAACACCACCATGCCTGATTCCTATTCTGATATTGAGACACGTATCCTAAAGGCCTGTGAAGCCGCTCGAGGCCAAAAAAATCCGAATATCTCTATATTAGCGCGTCAATTTGACGTTCCTTATCACTGACTCCAAGCATATATTCATGGCTGAGCTACACGAAGCACACGCCCTGTTCCTAAAAAGACCCTTGATGATTTATAAGAGAAGGTGCTGATTTGTTAGATTTGTCAGCTTGATAATCTATATAGTTCACCTACAGCCGGAATGATTGAGCAGAGTGCCAACCAAATACTGCAGCAGAATACAACTGATGGGCTACCCTATACAGTTAATAAGAACTGGGTATATTCCTTTATTAAACGCCTCCCGGAGGAGTTTAAGCTTATTCAGCAAAAGCCAAAAGATAAGAAGCGCCTTGATATAGAAGATATAGATATTCTTTAACACTGGTATAACTGCTTAGAGCCATTTATCAAGCAGATTCCCTCCAAAAATATATATAACTTTAATAAAACCGGTTTCCAACTAGGATAAGGAAAGACTCAAAAGGTTGTGACTGCTATGCCTCTGCAAGCTGCAAGGGGGAATCTAACTAAAGAAATAGGCAAATTAATCTCTGTAATTAAGTATATTACAGTAGACAGTTTTAGTCTTCTTCCATACTTTATCTTCAAAGAAAAACATCATCTTGAGCGGTGGTATAATATAGATATTCCAGAGGAATATTGAATAGCTCTATTTCCTAAAGGCTATACTACAGATAAGATTAGCCTTGACTGGATTCAATACTTCCACCGTTATACAAAATGCCGTATCTCTACCAAAAAAGATGTTTAACTATTACTTTTTGATAGCCACAAGTCCCATCTTACCTATAAATTTCTTTAATTCTGTGGTCAACACTATATTATATCTTACTGTTTTCCTCCTTATATAATGCATCTTATACAATCTCTTGATAGATAACCTTTTCAGGTCTATAAGCACTTTTATTACAAGAGAAATAATGAACTTGCTCAAAGAGATACTGAGATAGATAATAAGAGTAATTTCTTAAAAGAGATTTATTCTATTCATATAACAACTTTTAAATAATATACAGTTCAGGATGCCTTTAAGAAGCGAGGCCTATATCTCTTGAATTCAGAGAAGATAATAAAGCCTCTATATAAGGCTTTAGAGACTGCTCCAGGGCTTGAGATAATTATAACACTATTACCACCACTATCAAGCTTATCGCTGCCATCTACAATACAAGGACTTTGTTGAAGTATTAGGAAAGCACAGAGCTTTATTGATAATAGCCCTGAGCTTGATCAAAGCTTTGTATAATGCCTTGACCGTGTATTCCAGAGTTCACTAGAAGCTACTGAACTAGCTGCTTAGCTTAAAGATAATCTATAACAACAACTTTAATACTGAAAGCCTCAAGATAGACGGAAATCATAGAAAAGGATCCAATATAATGGGCCACTAACTGTATATAATATAAAATGCTGAATTGCGGATTGTACTGAGATAGAAAGACTAAAGGATCTTAGACAGATTGGAAAAAGAGAAACTTTAGAACACAATAAACTACCACAACAGGCAGATCCAGGGGATCTGCCTAGTATAGAAGCCAGTCAGGTGGATAAAGAGGGCCCTAGACTACCATTTTGGATAGATACTCAAGGCAATGTTGTGTAGGAGCTTGAATAGCTTCAAATTTTGCGTTGAGGTGGGAATTTGCGTTGAGGTGAGGCAGACCAACACGCCGAAGGGCGGGTGGGGCTGCTGACCTAAGAGACGGCTATAGGCTACCCGGGGTTATCAAACATGACAAACATAAATTATGAAAATTTCACTATGTTTTACCTCTGTAAAGTCCCCTTTTCTCTATGTATTTTTAGTATCTATCTATTATATATATATCGAAAGTTGTGTTTTTTCCGCTATTCTTCCTGTTGTTCTGTTTTCTCATTGGTTGGTTATCTCACCGCTTGCGGTTATTCTGCTGTTCGGCTCCCCACCACTTTCGTTACTCTTTACACCGCTTTTATTATTCTGCCAGTTCTGCTTTGCCTTCTATATTGTTGTCATTTCTCTACAGTTATTTCTCTATACTACCCTCTGTTTTCTTCTTCCTGTCCTCTTCTCTAGCCCTTTTTGAGTTCTCTGGCGTGTCTCTCTCTTTTGACTTTTCCCAGCTGTATTTTTATCCCTTTCTTTTTGGCTTCTTCCCTGCCTGCTTCGGGGTCCATAGCTCCTGTATGGTTTGAATATATGCTTCACTGAAATACTGTTGCACTTCCCAGCTCTTATTACTTTCTTAGTCTCTCTTCTCTGTCTTCTCCATCTCTCGCTTCCGCTGCAGAAGTTTAGTAGTCAACTGCCGGGATACCTGGCTGTCTTAGTATATCAACATCTCAGTTGGTTCCTTGACTTACTATATCATATAATACTTACTTTCTAGAGTAGTCTTCACATTTATAGCGCCTGTTATCTTAAATAAATATATACTTAGGTATCGCGTCTTCCGCTTGCATGTGTATCTTTTATTCTCTTATACAGTATATACAGATTCTCCTGTTGCTTTGACTCTCTATATTTAGTATCTTTGCTAGGATTAGCTCTCTGCTTGATACTGGCTAGCTTGGTGCTTTTTCACTGATCTTTATATTATCTGTATGTTTAAATTCAGGAATATGTCTACAGGGCTCTCTAATATCCAGTTCCTGTGTTTAAGTTATAGTATTCTGCCATTCTTGTAGTCTCTCTCTAATATCTACCAGGTCCTTTTCTGGGAATGTAATCTGATATAGTAGATTATAGATAATACTGCTTATTATCTAAAAGCTCTATTCTCTGTTATCTATTTTGCTATACTTTAACATACTGTAGTGCTTTGTTAATAGTCTGGCTAGGTATATCTGTGGTATAGAATTTGCAGTATAGAGTTATTATTTTCAGGATTTACTAATCTGTATTTCTCATACTATTTTAGTATATTTCTCTGCGCCTTTCTTATAGGGTTATCTATCTGAGATCTCTTGTTCTATAGTACAGATTTTATAATATATACAGGATTTATAACTCTTTAGTTTCTATACTGCTGTGTTTCTTACTATATTAGCTCTTATTACTTCTTTATTCACGCGGCTTGTAGACTTCTACTTATGCCTATTTAAAGGCCTGCGGCTTTCTTCTTCTATATATTTTTTATATAGTAAAAAAAAAGTTTTTTGCTATTTATTTTCAATATAACTGATTATTCTTCCTGCCAGTATTATAGTGCCTGTATTCTGTACCAATGCCGTTTACCCCGGTGCTCCTCTTACCAGAATGCTATCTTGCGTGGCAAACCTGCATTTCTAGATATCCAGCAGCACTGTTCTACCTGCAGTTCATACTTTACTGTATCTAGAAAAAGTACCAGGTATAGTACATATCTTAAGAATAGCTATCTATCTACACCCCTGTCACAGAAGAGAGCTATATCAGTTAAGTCTAATATCTCTATAGATTCATTAACGCGTGTGCTTTTACAGGTTAGTATTACTGATTCTATCTCTTGGCGGCCTGACTTTATCCCGGAACCCTCTCCAGATCCTATACCAGATACTATATACTGATCTGATCCTTCTACTTGGCTGCCTATAACTAAGGCTTACAGGGTGTGTAGTAAGCGCTGGTTCACTACTGCTTCTGGCAGGTATTATTATTATTATACTGCTGCTGCCTGGTCTGCTAATCACACATAGCCTATTTCTCTTGGTTGGCGCTTATTAACTACTCTATGGCAGTCTCTGGATCTTGGCTAACTGGACTGTAAGTATCCCCATTACAGTGCCCTGTACTGGCATGCTGAGCTCTATCCATCACCAATGACCACTGCTCTATTCTAGAAGAGGTATTGCCGCACAGGATGCTTGCCTGCTTATCCCATGCCTAAGCCCCCCTGTATTATATGCCATTGGTTGAACACAAATATCTCTCAGTCTAGACTCTTTTGGAAATGGATCTGTATCTTGAACTCCGCCATTTCCTATATCTCTATAGGCTACTGCCATAATCCCTACTTAGAGCCCTGCGAGACTTTATATATCTTTCAGCTATAGGATATAATTTACTATTTATAAAGGCTCCTGCAGGACTCTGTTCTGTCTTATGCTTAGCTCTATTTTATAGATATAGAGTCTGCCAATATCTTGCAGTTAGAATGCTATCTACTTCTTAAGTATTGTCCAGTAGTTCTAGAGAAGCTTAATTAAATACTTTATCAGTATAATTCTTTTTATAGGATCTTTTTTTAAGTATATAAGATACTTAACCAGTTTCCTGATAAATTCTTTTTTTAATTGTTATCTCAAGTATGTCTATATATTAACACTATTATATATAGTAGTTCCTGACTTATATAGCTTTATTTAATCTCTAATTATACTGTAGGCTATCAGTATAATCTTCTCTCTATCTCCTCTAAGTTAGATGCCTTTATCCCTAATATTGTCAATAAATATTATACTGGTAGCTATTATAATATCCAGCTTTATCTAAGGAAGGCCCTGATTTATCAAGCCTAGGATCATTCTGCTCTACTTTCTAATCTCCAGGCTACTGCTATAATTAATGTAAATAAGATCCTTATCTATTTAGAGAACAGCCCTGTGCCTAATATTGATCCTGAGAATCCTGAGACTTCTCCTGCTATTATTGACAACAGTACTTCTCCACATTCCCAGTATCTATTCTTTATCTATTCTGAGCATGTCCTCTATGGCCCCCTAGCCTACTCTATTTTCTATTCTACCAGTGGCTGCAGCTACCATTGCTATATTAAGCTATCTGGATTAACAAAATCTGGATATACCTGCAAAAACACTAATATTATTTCTATAATATTCTACTGTTGGCTTCTCTACACTTACAGGCAGGACTTCAATATCTTGCACTGCAGTAGTATACTATTCCAGCAGTGATTAGTAGATATCTTTCTGACTAATAATCTTAAGAATATAGAGTTCTACCAGTTTAATCAGGGACAGTTACAGGCTGAGAAATACTTAACTGTAATAAAGATATTCTCTAAGTATACCAAGCCTGATCAGATTAGTTGTCAGTATATCCTGCCCTTAACTATTAAAGGTAGTATTTGATTTATATAACAGTGCTACCAGGATTCAATAGCTATTATATAATACTTTAGTAATTCCTTTTTTTTTATAATATTTATATATAATTCTTACTGGCTAGAGATCTTGGCTAAGCAATTTATTAATTCTTTTAATATATTAATTCAGACTTGGTATAAGTATCCTGACTTAGTCTATTAAGTCTTTTAGCTAAAGTTAAAGGCTTTACTGTAGGATTTTACTGGTAAAAATAGTATTCTTAGTCTGTACCTAGCGCATATCTAGATTATAGAATATCAGAAGCAAGGGATATCTTATATACATATTCTTCTATAGCTGGAAGCTGACTAGAGATATAATTAACCAGAGTTAGTGGATAAGATAATATTTGCTGAGCTTTCTGATCCAAGTATATTATAAGGCTGTCTCTTATATAGTATTGTTATAAAGCATTTAATACATGGCCCTTGCAGCAAGTATAATCCCAATGCTCTCTGTATAGACTGGCAAGACAGCAAGCAGTATTGTACTAAAGGATTTTCCTGGACTTTCTCTATAGAAACTGTTATCTCTGAAAATGCTTATCCAGTCTACTGCCACCGCGATAACTTGCTATTTATCTTTCTGATACCATACTCTACATGCTTAGGCGAGATAATAGTAATTAGTAATAAGTAGACAATACTGTATAATCCTTATCTTGCTGCAAAATATATGGCCTATATTAATATAGAGATATGCAGCAGTATCAAGGCTATTAAGTATATCCATAAGTATATCTATAAGGACCCTGACCGTGATACTGCTGAATTTAAGATTAATAAGATCTAAGAGTATCTTAATAGTTATTATATAGGCTTCTCTGAGATAGTTTAGCACCTGTTTAAGTTTTCTATTAATAGTATAACTCTATCAGTACAAAGCTTAGTTATCCACTGTGAAGATAAGTATACAGTTACTTATAATCCTAGTACTACTATAGAGGATACTGCTGTTAAGATTAATAAGCAGACTTCTCTCTTAGTAAAGTTCTTTCAGTACTGCCATAATAATCCCGGTATTGACTTTACCTATCAGGATACTTCCTTATATCTTATATAGAATAAAAAGCGCTGGAAAAAGTACATGCAATAGAGTATTTTATAGATTAGTTATATCTATTTAGTAAATCTCCTATAGGATAAAGTTTATTATCTCTATTATCTTCTTACCAAGGTTAAAGGCCCTAAGAGTTATAAGGATCTGTATACTATATCTCTTACTCTAGATAAGATATTGATTAGAGAGTATAAAATTTATTAACTAGTTACTAAAAGTAACTCTTTTTAAATTACTATTTATTATATCTTTCAGGACATGTGCTATGCTCGAAATATTATTCCCCAGAATAATAAATGGTCAGTATATTTTAGTAAAGTAATTATACTCTGTACTGGCTGGGAGCTGCGCTGGATATTTATATCTATAATACTGTATAATAATCTTAATAATACCCGGCCTATTTAGAATAAGTTTCAGAAGTATTTCTGTGAATGTCTTATAGAAAAAATTAAGTGATTTAATTTAGTCTATAATCCTAATATCATTTCTATATCTTATCTGGACTATAGTCTTTTTCTTATTACTGGCTATCTATATATTAAGAATAAGACTCTTTCTAACTTTAATTTATTTTCTTATATTAATAACTGGGATAAACTTCTTGCTAATCCTCTCCTGTATCAGGAACTAGATTATAACCTGGAGGAATAAGCTTACCTTACTTAGAACTATAAGATCTCTCTAAATAATGACTAGCACACTGCCTATATATATATTCTATCTAAGATAGAATCAGATCTCTATAATACTCATTTCTTTCTTCATGGCCCTGGGGGCACTGGAAAGATCTTTCTATACTGCATGCTCTGTGCTAGGCTGCGCGCCTAAGAAAAGGTAGTGCTATATATTGCTTCTACTGGAATTACTTCTCTTCTATTATCCAGTGGTTATACCGCCCATAAGCGTTTTAATCTTCCATTAGATCCTGTACCAGATATCCAGGGCTTTATTAGCCGTGATATATATATAGACTGACTTATACAGTATATGTCCTTGATTATTTAGGATAAGATATCTATAATATATAAGGAGCACTTTAATATTATTGATCATAATCTCTATAATCTAAGAAAGGATCTACCTGGCAGCAGCTATCTCTTTAATGGTATGCCAGTGATTCTTGATAGTAATTTCTAACAGATCCTGTCTATTATCCAACAGGGTACATATTCTGAGACTATACATGCATGCCTGCAGCACACTTTAATCTGGCTGAAGTTAGAGCAGTTACAGTTGCGCCAAAATATATAATTAGATTCAGAATCTAGCCCAGAGAATCTCTGCTTAGGGACCTGGCTACAGGAGATATCATATAATCCCTAATACTACAGTCTAATAACTTTTTCTAACAGACTCTATATAACAATATCTCTTTCCACTTTTATAGAGTAAATATATTCCTCGGCTGACATGATTACTGTGTCTTTAAATCCAGACTTCTTTACTGGTTATGTGATCCTTTTAGTTTATAATAAGAGTATCTATGAGCTTAATGATATGCTTCTAGATAGGATGCCCAGGACCATGACAATTTTATATTCCTTTGATAGCTGTATTATAGATAATGATAATTAGGTATATCCTGATAAGATACTACCAGAGTTCCTTAATAGTCTTAGGGATAATAATTTACTGCTAGTAAATCTACGCCTAAAGATTAGTGCTTTAATTATTATTCTGCAGAATATTGACTCTCTTAATAGTCTCTGCAATAGTACCTGTTATACAGTGAGCTGTTTTATATCACACTGTCTAGAGATCTGTCTTAATATTCTTGGGCTTAGTAATCCTTACTGTCTTATCTATCGCTGCAAGCTTACTGCAGATTGGAATAGGCTTTCCTTTACTTTTATTCAGTATTAATTTCCTGTTAGGCTGGTATATGCCATGACTATTAATAAAGTCCAGGATTAATCATTATCCTATATAGGTGTTGATCTCTGTGTTCAGCCTTTTAGTCATAGTCAGCTGTATATGGCTCTGTCATGGATAACCAATGCTAAGAATATCTCTATTTTGGTGTCCCCGGATAATCTTAATAAGCAGATAGATAATATTGTCTATCCTGAGATGCTGAAGGATTTCTCTCCCGGTAGTCCTTTTTAAGATATTAAGGGACCCCCTGGAATCAGTCTTTAACTGATTCTTTGCCTGACTTGCCTCCATGTCTTGGCCGCTGTGGGCCTTATAGTGTACTATTTCTTTGATTGCATCATTTGCAGGATTTACAGGATTTATAGACTTTGCAGGATTTACTATATTTGCTTCCATTATTATGCTCTATTACCCTCACCGCCATTTTTATAGCTATCTAATAGGATCTGGTGAGTTCCTTTCAGCTCAGTATCTACCCTTTTAGGAAGATATCTATGCCGTGTCAGGCTTTGCATTATTAACTCCACTGTATTTCTAGTAATCTCATGTCTCTTGCATAATCTGCATGTCTTACTTTCTTAGCCTAGAATCTCTTATTTAAATAGTCCTTAACTTGCAACTTATTTCTTTAATAGACTATATTTCTCCTTCTGTTCTTTAAGTTATTATATCAGATACCAATACTATTCACTGCAACTTTACCGCGATTATATCTATTAACAAGGCCCTGGCTATAACACAGACTGTTTCGCTTTTACAATTTACTATGTTCTCTGATGGCCCGGAGTATACATTCCTCAGGGACTTGGTAATCCCGGAGGAGATGCCATACATGGTGACCTACTATAATAAGTTCAGGTTACCCTATGTCCCCCAGCAAGTAGTTATAGTCAACGGCCAACTTAGTGCTCAAGAAAATGCTGCTAGGTTTCCTACCTTGCAAGTCTGTACTGATATAATAGCACTGTAAGTGTTATATCTATAACTTAGAGCTACTTACTGATTATTATTAGATTTGTTAGGCGCACCTTACAGCGCCTGCGGGTGATATAGTAGCACGTGCGGGTCACGTGCTACCCGCTGCGGTAAAACCTTTACCGCACCCCAATGGCTTCAGAAACCAGTGATCAACCTCTGTGTATGGTAGTAGATCGTTCAATAGAAACCCAGTCCTCTGCTCCTGCCACCTGCGGCGCTGTAGCACGCTATTCCCCTACTACCTGCGGCTCTCTGAGCTGCAATTAACAATTTTGATCACTCTTTTGGGTTCTCTTATCCCCGAATAGCCCGTTATGGCACCGCAGACGCGCAGGGCAGTAGCTCCTGCGGGAGACACTGGATTGAATATCCAAAGCCCCAGGGAACTGCATGACCCAATAACCTCAGAATCGACCCCCGTGATGATAGCCGCAGCTACTATATCGCAACCCCACGGAAATATAACTGTGTAAGCAGGATCAGGAAGTATCTCTTTATTAATAATAAGGATCCCAAGTCCTGCCCTAGAGGAAGAAATATGGCTTATAGAGCAAGAATATTAGTAGATCTAACTAGAGCTGCAAAAGCAGAAACTTAATTGCCTAATCAAGTAAAAAAAGCAAAAGCTGCAGGAAGTAACTGAATATATAGAGACAGAACTATTATATCCTGAACCAGAATTAAATAAAGTAAACAGAAATAATATAATATAAGTCCAGAAAGTATAGATATCTTTTTCCTGTAGGCCTCCTAGCTGATTAGCAATGAGCGGAGAATACTATAGAAGAAATATAAAAGAATATACTATATTTATAGCCTGTATAAAGAATTACTTTACTATTAATTAATACTATTTTATTAATAATATAATAAAGATTATGGATAGTATCTTCTATCTATCAGCAAATCTTATATATCTGTGGGATTAATATACTAATAAACAGGAATATAATCCTACTTAAAGCAAGTTCTGTGACTTTCTTCTATAGCAGTTAAATAACCCTATTAATTTATAGCAGAATGCGAACCAGAAATACTATAATATAAAATAATAATCCTATTAAACTATACAGGAATTTACTGTATTTATTATATAATGGGAAGCGCAACTTCCAGAATCTTATACTGAATTATAATAAAAGAACTATCTTTAGATATAAGTCCTAGAAGAGCTGCAGCAAGAATCACTAAAATATCTGAATAAGTCTGATAAATATAAAAACTTTATAGTATATCTCTAAACTATTAAGAATAGTCTGCTATATTACAGGCTAAACCAAGAAAAATAGTATATTAACTAATATATATTAATGCTATTATTCCTGTAATAGAAACAAAATCTTAGAAAGAGATTATTATTTAACAGAACTTTATTACTGAATCTAAACTGTAACCTGCAGGAACAGAAGTCTAATATAGATAATAGAATAAGCTATAGAAATAACAAGAGTAGTTCACTAGATAAATACTATTATTATAGATATTTCAGATACTAGAGTAGAGATTACTGCATAACTAGATCTAAACTAATAATAACTGCAGCTAATATACTAAAAAACTAGATACCCAAAACCGCAATACAGCTACAGTTCTAGAGATTAAGACTAATTAAAAACTAAATAACTTAATAAGTATATAGATAAAGCTATATATGCTAGCAGGCCAGAAAAAAGCTAAAGTATTAATTAATAGTAAAGCCCAAGTAATCCTGATAAACTAGATATAGATAAAAGAAAACCTACCTACAGTATAGAAAATATCTAGAAAGATTATGGTACTAGACAGGTATAAGATCCCCTTATATAGTAAATACTAGATCACTATAGATACAGAGAATTACCAGAATATCAGGCAGGAAATAGTTTTCACTATGGATATAGTAAATATAAAGAACTATAATATTATTCTTAGCTATCTATAGCTATAGAAAGTAAATTCCCTGATTAACTAGTAAGCCTATAACTTTATCTATAGAGGCAGCTGCAGCAGTGATCCTATATCAATAGTTTTAAGTATAGTGATAGTCTAAGCAGTAGAGAAAGATCTTCCTATCTATATAGCCTATATAAATATCTATAAAGATAAGACTAAGATACAGACTGCTAGCATAGCAGCAATAACTAAAGAAGTAGAGCCAGAGATACTAAAGAAGTACCTGGAATTTTAGAAAGTCTTCTTTAAAGTAGAAATAGAGAAACTATCTCTATATACAGAATATAATTATATAATTGAATTAATCTCTGGAAAACAGCTACTATACCGGCTGATTTACTTTCTCTTTAAAAAGAAGCTTAAAGTACTCTAAGAATATATTACTACTGTATTTAAAAAAAAATAGATAAAATCCTTAAAAAGCCTAGCAGGAATATCTATTATATTTATACTAAAGAAAGATAGCAGCCTATAGCTATATATAGATTACTATAGATTAAATAAAATCATAATTAAGAACTGCTATCTACTATTACTAGTTAATAAAATAATAGATTATCTAGTAGAAGTAATAATTTACACTAAGTTAGATCTGCAAGATATATATTATTATATTTATATTAAGATAGAAGATAAGTGAAAAACTACTTTCTATATTTATTATAGCTATTTTAAATATTAGATAATATCTTTTAGCCTAGCTAATATACCTGTAATATTTTAAGTATATATTAATAAGGCTCTCAGTAATCTACTTGATATATGCTATATAGTCTATCTAGATAATATTCTTATCTATTTAATATTAGAAGCTTAGTATATATAATATATACAGGCAGTCCTGGAATAACTACAGCAGTATTAGTTATATACTAAACTAAGTAAGTATAAGTTCTATACTATATATATAAGCTATCTAGGATTTATTATTATACTACAGGATATTAAAATGGAGTCTGAGTAGATAGAAACTATAGACTTATAGTCTAAGCCTACTACAGCACGGGAGATCCTAATATTTACCAGCTTTATAAACTTCTATTATAGATTTATTAAGAAATACTTATATATAGCACTATCTCTAACAGACCTTATAAGAGATCTAGAAAACAGAAAGAAAGCTAAAAATAAGTTATATAAATCTACAGAAGATAAAAAGAATTTCTATTAGTAAAAGTATAACTTTCTAGATAAAAAAATTAAGCTTCTACTAAAGATAAAAAAAGTATTTAAAAAATTAAAAAAGATCTTTAAAAAAGTACCAGTTCTTAAGTATTTTAATCCTGCACTATAAATTATATTAGAAATAGATATATCTGACTTTACTATAAATACAATAATCTCTTAATTATATAGTAATAGAGCATAATATTCCATTACTTTCTATTCTAGAAAAATAATAGATACAGAATATAAATATAGAATATATAATAAGAAGCTCCTTATAATTATTAAGGCATTTAAAATATAGTAGTACTATCTGGAAGAGAGTAGATATCCTGTTACTGTTAAGTCTAACTATACTAATCTCAGTAGCTTTATACAGCTATTACTAAAGCAGCTGAATAGATATCAGACTTATTAGATAAAGCTGCTCAGTATATTTAATTTTAAAATAGAGCACTGTTTAGAAAATAAAAATCCTATAGATATATCTAGTTAAAGACCTGACTATATATCTACTAAAGAAGAAATTAATCTGCAGTTAATACTGCTAACTCTACAGACAAAGCTATAGCAGGCAATAGAGAAGACTATAAATTAGAAAAATATATTTAATAGAAAAAGTCCTGTATTCCAAGCAGAATAGGCAAAAAGACACTAAAGTAAAAAAGAAAATATTTAAGAATAATAAATTCCTGCAGGAGATTAAAATATATCTGTAGATAAGAATTATACTACCAGTATTACTAGTATTCTAGACTACTAAATACTATGGATTATAGTTACCAAAGTAATTAGATCTGAATCAGTATACTCTAATCTTACAGAATTAATAATAAAGCTTATCCGCTGTATCTAATAGAAGAATATAAAAATAAAAAATCAATACCTATATATATAGCAAGAGAGTCAGAAAAAGTAAGGTAATTTATTCTGGGAAATAGATAAAGACAGGCTTCTTAGATATAAGAATATAGTTTATATACCTAAAATTAAAGCAATAATTCAAGAAATTATAAGAATAAATTATAATCTACTGCAGAAAAGTTATACTGGTTTTAACTGTATCTATAATATTATTAGATATAAGTATTATTGGTATAATATATATACTGATATAAAAGAATATATAAAAATATATAATATCTATTAATATATTAAAGTATATAAATATATATCTTATAAGAAATTAGCTCCGCTTCTAATCTCTATAAGACCAGAAGATATTATAACTATAGATTTTATTACAGGATTACTCTCTAGTAAGTAATAGAGAAAGATCTATAATATATTATTAGTTATAGTAGACATACTGACTAAATATACTATCTATATTCTATATAATAAAGATATTAATACACTATATTTTATAGAGTTAATATATACTATAATAGTTTCTATATTTGGGAATCTATAATATCTGGTAACTAATAGAGATATAGTATTTACCAGTCACTACTGAACAGTGTTATATAACTATTTAGGAATAAAGTAGAAACTGTCTATTGCTTTCTATCTATAGATAGATAGGCAAACTGAGTATCAGAACTAAATACTAGAGTATTATCTATACATGTATTACAATTTTCTTCAGGATAACTGGACTTACTGGCTACCAGCAGTGCAGTATATATATAATACTGTAATCTATAGTGCCACTAAGGTAATACCTTCCTATATATTAATAGGCTTCACACTAAATCTGCAGATTAATATTGATAATAGATTACTGTATATAAAAGCTCTAGAAGCAAAAGAAAGAGCTAAAGAGCTCTAGTAAGTATATAATATAGTAAAAAATATATTTAAGAAGTCTAAAACTACAATAGTAATATAGTATAATAAATATTATATAGATATACAGTTTAAGATAAAAGATAAAGTACTGGTATAGATAAAGAATATCTTTACTATATAACTGAATATTAAATTAGATTACTGCCAGTTAGAACTGTTTATAATTATTAATATATAGAAAATACAGTCTTATAAACTAAGGCTACTGCCATAATACTGCTACTTATATCCAGTTTTCCATGTCTTATTACTAGAGCCATATCACTAATAGAAAGATCAGAAGATATAGCTACCACCTATCCTAATTAATAGAGATAAAGAATAGAAGATAGAATATATCTTAATAGAAAAATATATCTAGAATAGAGAAATACTATATCTAGTCTAATAGACAGGATATATATCTGTAGATAATATCTGGAAATTATTGGAGCATATATAAGAAACTTAAGTATTAGATAAATATCAGTACATAAAAGAGAAGACTGACTGTACCTAGAGTACTGATATCTATAGTAGGCCTATAAAACCATGATATTACAGATACAGTTCACCAAGCAGCAGGAATAAATTACCAAAAAAAAAAAAAAAAACTATAGAAATATCTAAAGGCCACATCCTATCTATCCTAATTATAATCAAAAGACAAAAACACTCTATTCTCTATACCTATAGATTAGCTCCAGCGGAGTCCGCTTAGCGGAAGAGAACTCACTTAAAGAGAGAAATAAATATATCCAGCATATACTGGTAGAGAGAGCGGAGGCTTACAGGAGATAGAGTAGAAGAAGCCAGTAATCCTGAACCTAGGCCACCACTGCTGCGGCAGGCTGCACCAGGTGCCACATATACAGGACAAACAGTGGCATTAAGGGCACAAACCGCAGCTTTAAGAGCCTTCTTTATTATAACAGTAGACAGAGACTGTTTAAAGCAGTGACGTGCTACTAACACCGCGTCTACCTGTGTAATGGCCCCAGTAGACATCTACTGCACATATCAGTATAATCCAGTATTGGAGATCAGGAGATATTACTTGCCGGTACGCAACGGTAGTAACTACTTGTGCAATAGAAACAAACATAATGGCCCTTGTGGATCATGCAGGCAATACTTACCCCTGATAGGGCCGAACCGCAGTGCCAGAGACACTGCAGGCATCACTTCCTACTATTTTCAGGCAAGGAAATACCTGCGTTATCTTCTGAAGATAAAAAGACCTTATTCTCTAAAAAGAGAGAAAATAAGAGATCTTTCCTGCTCAAGAAAGCTGAAAGCATAATATTATCTCTGCTAAGGGAATCTAGTAACGCAACTGCTTTCTCTAAAGAGGGGACCGGAAACAGACTTGATAAAAAGCCTCCAAAAGAAGGGGACGCAGGAGAAGACGCAGGAGAAGATATAGTAGAGACTGAAGCCTGCTGGTAATATAGGTGACAGGCACAGTTCTTCTTCTTGCGCCTATTGGCGCGGCGGAGTATATAAGCGGCAGCAGATCAATATTTGGCCATCTATTAAATATACTAGTGGAATCAGCATACATATAAGCCCACAAACAAAGCTAAGAAGGAAGCAGGAAAGAGCTTAATATAGAACATAATTATCAGCAGGACAATAGATATAACAGTGCCACATCTAATAGCTCAGGAGACCTCAAAACTATAAGATACAGGCAACACAATAAGCAGAATAGGATACTGTGATCAGAATAGTCTAAACATGTGGTGTGAGGCGGAAAACAAGGCGCTTACTATAGGTATAGAAGAGATTAGTAATTAAGAAAAGGAATAAGAAACAGCACGTGAGAAATCACTGTATAGCAGATGATATCCAACATAAGTGGCGCCTAGGCAACAGAATCAGTGAATGGCACAACACAACTACAACACAATATCACTGCCTGATATCAAGCAAGTGAATGGAACCGAGCGTTTTATACCATAGAGCACGCGGCAGGAATCGGGATCGGACCCTGTACAACGCAACTAACATTCCTATACTTCCTGAAATGGAAAACATGAGGCTATCCCCAAGCATGAAATCACATACTGCTCAGAACCACCGAACGCCTACACCACGCGCCCGCAACCAACCCCGCATAAGCCAGGATTCTACGCTCGTATAAATGAGCACCTACGAAGCCCTGAGGCCAGGGCTTTCCGAGAGAGGGGGGTAATGTTAGGCGCACCTTACAGCGCCTGCGGGTGATATAGTAGCACGTGCGGGTCACGTGCTACCCGCTGCGGTAAAACCTTTACCGCACCCCAATG